GGTATTGATAATATGTTCAGAGATGATATGCATTCCTCAATAGTGCGATTAATTGAATGTAATACCAATGGCAAGTCCTCAAGATTTCCTTCAGCGGAACTAACAAGATCAGTCACAGAGCGATCCTCAAGTATGATGTTGTATTGCCCCAGATCCTTTACAATGTTTCCATATATGACCAAGCTTAAACTTCGATAGCTGCCTCTAACAACCAAATGATTAGTCACAACAGCCTGCATGAAATTAGATTGTCATTTGAATGTATGTCTTGCCAAAATGAAGCTTTCCCAACCTTCAGTGCCTTGCAAGTTTTTCTTATAAGAAATTAAGCAACAAGGGGCACAGCATAAGAATTTCCTTAGAGTCCACCTATAGTAGTATGCTCTTGCTAAAGCATGGTTCTCTTCGCCCAGTGTCAACACTAGTATAATCCCCCACTCCTATCAGTTCCGATGTAATCTAAGTTGTTACTCCTAAAATATTTTCAGGTTTTACAAACACAAGATTTTTCAAGTGTACTCTTAAACTTGTTTCCTTCGACTCTGCCATGAAAACAACACTAAACAAATTCTAAGAGTTCGTCAAAAACAAAAAGAAATTCTTCATATTGAGCAACAACAAAATAAAGTAGGAAAAGCATTAAGAACCAAATCAAGAATGAAAGCATGTAAATTTGAACATATCACCTCAACTTCTAGCGGATATGGTGCAGAAGGAGAATAAAGAAAAGGATGGCAAAGCCGCTTAAATTTTGTTTCCCCTTCACATCGAACAAACACTTCTAGAGCAAATGAAGGAGGTGAGGTCGCCCTGGATAAAATAACAGTATTCCATGAAATCACTACTCAGAAAACATAGGTTAAGATTCATTAGACGGTTGCACGTTAAAGCACAAAAAAATCTATGCGTTATGTGGGATTGAAAGACATTTTGTGAGAACATCTGGGATTTAAAAACATAACAAAAACAAAATTTAGATATCGACCTCTAATGCCACATGTCGGAAGTAGGTGTCAAGGAACACAATCTAAAATGCGCATTTTAGGGGACCCAACATAAATGCAAACTTTTATTTTGTCAACAGATGCCATGAGATTCCAAAAATCAAATTCCCAGATCTAATATAGGCGAATTTCATATTAACAAAATAGAAAGGAACATCATTTCCTAAAAGAACAATGTCTACTTTTTCATTTGCTTGAAACTAATGACATGCAAAAGGAAGAGGTTTCTAGTAAAACATACCCCACAAGGGATACTGCTTGAGACGCTGAGGCGGTATTCTGTTCAAGAAACTCGCAAGCAGTGATAATTACTGGTTCAGCAAATATTACCTACAAAAGAGGAACTTCAATAATAGATAAAAAGCAGGAAAATACAAACTCTGCACTAGCACAAACAAATTGTCAATATGCAAGCTATTTAGACAAGGTTACAATCAGACTTCTCATGCAAGGCGCTTCAAACACTAAAAAGAAAAGGGAAAATGTTAAAAAACATAAATGAAAAGACAAAAATACAGATAAATGAAATTGAAAGGGAAAAGAAAGATGAAATGGCGTCGGCCGACTGAGTTACCTCGTCGACGTACTCGTCGAGTTGGGGATGAACGAAGGTCTGAGCGAACAGAACGCAAGGTTCAGATCGACCCATGTATGCTTCCTACGGATAGTCAGACTCAATTCTTCAAAGTAACATGGATTTTGTGTGCGTTTTCTGAAGTAGAATTCTAGGGTTATTGATTTGGGGATGTTGGCTCTGCAACTGAAAGTTTGATTCTGAGGTTTAAGAGGGAGGGAAAAGAGCGTTGAGCTTTTCCGGGGAGTAATTCCTTTTTATGATATTTAAGTGGTGAAATATATTATAATACAAATTAACACGAATAATTTAAAACATTTTTAAAATAAAATAATAGTATAATAGGTACTTTAAATAGAATTCATTTTAGTTAATTAGTAACATGTAATTTAATCTTAAAGAATGAATTATATCCTCATTTGATAATTATCTAAAAATATTTAGTTAAAATTAATAATATATATAATAAAATAGGACTAAAATTGTAATAATTACATATGTAAATCTTCAAATATAAAAATAAAATTTAATTTTTAATTAAATTATAAAATATATATTTATTATCTAATAAATTTTTTACTAATTACTCACTTTAAAATTATGCGCTTATAAGTTCTTAACCACCCGTTGATTTTCCACACTTTATTTAGTATACAGACTTTTCATTAAAGTTTGATATATTTATTTTTTAATTTTTGTAAAATTTGTATTTACATAAAGTTATATTTAAATTATCATATATGTTATCACTAAAAAATGAATCTAAAATTGTGTCTCGTGCGTACTTAAGGTACTTCTATTCATATTCAATATAAATTAAACATTTTTAATTATTTATAATTAAAAATTAAAGTGTAAGTACAGTTAATTCTAATTATCGGACACATGTTAAGCTGAATATTTCGTAATTTTTGTGTTAAAAAAGAGGGCAAAAAAAAAAAACCATTTACGAAGGTAAAGACTTGTTGCAGTCTTCTTGGCACTAAACTCCTGTCATCCTTAAGAATTCATGCAGCCACCTCTAATCCAAGCAACCCGGTACCAACTCATTTATATATACGTGTGTGTGTGTGTGTGTGTATTGCCACTGCACTGAAGGCGTAAACATCAATTATATCTTCCACAGAAACCAGCTGAATCCAATCTATACGTACAAATTTCCTGAAAATGGTCTATAATCTATACATACAAAGTTCTTTTTAGGAACGTCTATAATCTATACATGTAATTAGCAATAGAACACCGTGACTCAAATTTTGTCTACATTGAATATTACCATTGCCTTCAACATTACATCTACAAAACCTCTCCAACAAGGTCTGGAGTTTTATTCCCGAGCATACCAAGCCCAAGCCCGGGACATAAGCGCTCCTTTTAATCTAGAGATTAACAAATAATAAAAAGGAATTCTCTTTTTATCATTTTTAGCCTTTTTTTTTCCCCTGATTAAAGGCTTATCGAATCTCTAATAATCAGCTCTTGAAGGAATGGGACATTTAGTACCGTACATTCTGACTATGCAACAACTCAACCACAGCTGAAACAACACCCTTTCCCTCGACAGAAATGTCAAAGCTTGGTTCCTCTATCTTCCTATTTAGAAGTCTATCAAGCTCCCCTCGCAATTTCTGAGAAACAAAAAAGGGGCATTCACCAACCTTATCAAATTGTTTTATCTAGATGGAGTCAAGAAATGGAGTGAAATAATTATGTCATAAGTGTAACTTGTAAGAGGCATTACCCGGATCAATTCCAGTACACTCTTTGATGAAGAGAAATGAAGGTAACCACCAAGCATCTCAATACCCTCTCCAGTCTTGCTAGGAATAAGATTGCCACCAAACATAAGCAAAGCGTAATCTGATATATTAGTTGAGTCTCGGATGTAAATACCGGATGTTTTCACCTTTTCACTGTAAACCATGTACGGAAGAGGGAATAGATGAACTCCTGCATTGACAGATGCAGGATGGATTTCAACTTTTCCCACTTCTTTAGTGTAGAATGCTGTACGTTTCCCTCTTCGTTTGCATTGTACAACATTTGGATAGAGACCAGCACAAAGAATTGCACATACCATTTCCAAATCATGACTGTATTGATTGTAGGCCTGCATCAAAGGCACATAATACAAGTTTAAGAACCCTGCAATTTATTTAACATCACGTAAAAGCAATAAATAAAGTAGTGAACTCATTCTGGAACTGGAAACTCAAGGCAGTTGAGAACCCTGAGATGCATGCTTTGAACTCCCAAGTGCACCAGAGCGTGCTGATATAATACTGTTATAGATGATATGGCACTTGCGAAAGTAGGTTATTTTTGCCTCATGGTATATGCATGCAAAAATAGCTTCTGTTTAGAATGCATCCACGTCTGATCAGAGTCGCACATCTTTGGCAAAATGATGATAATGAAAAAGAAATGGGAAGAAATGAAAGCCTCATTTTAACAAGCGTAAGAGCTTACACTAGCACCCTTGGATTTGTCAACAAAGCCTATGTCTGATAGAAGATTCAGAAACTGGTTTCTCATATCCTCCATCATCTGTAAGGTTACTGGGGATAAAAAGTTTTCCCAACAGAAGGCTCTCTCTCGTCCATTACATTTTGCATCCTTATATCCTTCAAATGCTTTAAGAAGTGCAATGTGGTCGCTGCAATTAAAGAAGTTAAAACTCAATGCTAATAACAGATTCAGATTCGACATTTTAAAAAATGGCAATCTTTACAAAATGAGAGAACACTAAATCAGTTTTGAAATTCCTTCTCCTCCTTGTCTCCTATCCAGGATTTTCGGTTTAGGCCCTCTATATTTTTTTAAGGGTCACTATATGTTGGACGCATCCGATTTTGCAGATCTAGTTTACCTTTTCTCTTTGTGAGAGTTGTATGCATTTTGGTGGCACCCACTCGTACCTTTTAATATTATTTCCCTTATTTCTATAAGAGAAGATCAATTTAAAGGCCTGACCTGCAGGAGTCACCAGCAAACGATCTTTTTGCAGCATCAGCCTCCTCTTTCCTATTTATCGGCAGGACAAAAGGGTCTCGATGTGCCAGAGCGGCCGCAATTGTCAAAGCAGGATTTAGGCATTTAAAAATAGCACCAATTAGAAGCATTTTTCCAATATTTGGGTCCAAAGGTAGAGTGCAAAGATGGCTACCTGAAAGCGAGTGCTCCACGTTATCCAATATATCATGAGGCTAATATGTGCTAGGAGAAGAAGTTTGAAGGGAATGTTTCATACCAAGTGGAGTAAGCTCCTCCATATCATCTAAAGCTCCAATAGTTTTAAGAAGTTCAATTGCATTTTGAACAGAAAGAGGATCTGGTGGCTGAAGAGCCTTTGCCAAAAATGATCCAACAGCTCCAAGCTGCAAGCTTTTGATATGCAGGCATAATTCTTGCAAAGGAGTTCGAAGAATTTCAGGTAATTGATACTGTGGCATTGCATCATGGATAACTTCTGGATACAGTCTATAGCAAACTCCAGGTTGCACACGACCAGCACGACCTCGTCTCTGTAAATGTATTAGCATGCTAATAAAAGGATGATTTCAAATGAAAAAGGAGCAATCTAGCTGCAATAGTTAGAATTCTAAAACTGCCCACTATATTTCCAAACTACTTGTTAAAATACCTGATGGGCTGAAGCCTTTGAAATCCATGAAGGTAAAAGGCAAGCAAGCTTATTGAGAGCATCGTAACTGGTTTCTTTTGCCTTTCCGCAGTCTATAACATACACAACATCATCAATGGTAATACTGCTCTCTGCAATATTAGTTGCCAGAACAATTTTCCTGGGAAAAAAAAGCAGACTCAGACTTCTAGAAGACAAAAGAAGCAGTCTGAAGGTACTTCCAGTTTTCCTTCTTTTTGAAAAAACAAAAACGCATTTGTGATGCAGGAAAAGAAAACCTCTCATTATGATTGAACTGAATTTTTTTTTAAAAGAAGAATAGATATAATATGTTTGATAAACTATAGGGTGTTTAGTGAGTACTAATAATACAACAATTAGCTAAGTAAACTCCTATGACCTTTCCATGCCAAATATCAAGAAAATATTTGACATATATTTATCAGACAAAGTACTGAACATCAAACAAATCCCACCAAAAATTACAGCAATTGCCCAATCAATAAAATAACATATACTTTGGCATAAATAAAAAAGGAAATAGACCATAAGAAAAATATAATCCAGTCATCTCTATAGCATGAAGATTTTGCTAAATATCCATAAATTCAGAATAAATAATTCTGACAAGGCATGAGATTTTTCACCTTAAAAGACAATATACAAATTACCATAGCAGCATTTGTAAAACAAACTAATAGAGCCTATCAATAGAAAACAATAAAGGAGTTGAAAAAAAGTAATAGAGGAAAACTATTTACGAACACGAGATTTTTTTTAATAGAAATAGAAGAAAAAACTGATAGTATAAAAGTTTTTACCGCTTGTTAGGTGGTGAACGGTCAAAAATTTCACGTTGATTGATTGTGGGCATCGAGCCGTGCAGGGGAAGGACTAGAAACTTGCTAAGGTTCCCAAGAAAGTTGTTTGCTTTAATTTTGTCTAGAAGTTTCGAAATTTCATCCCAGCCAGTCAAGAATACAAGAATTGCTCCGTCACCTTCTTTGCGACATATGTACTCAATTGTTGACTCCACCTGCAAGTAGTTTTCAGCAATAGATATGATTAAAAGGTGTGTTCTATTCTATGGATTTTTGACATTTTGAAACACAAGGACTTCCAAAGTTTTTCATTCTGTTCCAGTCCAGAAGGCTTAAAATTCTCCACCTAATATCCTAACGTATTTATAATAAACCATTAGGATATTCCATCACAAAATTTAAATATACCTTAAGGAACAATAAATTCGTAAATCCTTGCATTCTAAAATCTTAAAACCTTAAAACCACTTATTGATGATGTCCTTTAGGAACAAAGAATGGACTCTTTTTTTGAAATAGAAGTTAGTAGATGTATTAAAAAATGGCACCAAGGGGGTACCGCCCATGTACAAAGTATTACATATTTAAGAAAATATCGATAACAGCTCCAATGTCACCAAAAGAAACAACAAATGGACTCTTAATTAAAAACTATAAAGTGATTGTAATAGTGAATAATGTATTTAGAATTAATCTATTCTACCGCAGGTACTGAAACAAGATATTGGTCACCAATTCCTCAAAGTACATACCAAACCCAAATCAAGCTGTGAGGCAGACCAAGCTTCAAGAGAAAGTTTTGTAGATGTGCCATAATGGCTGTAGTGTGAATTAATATCAAGTTCCTAGACAAGAAAGCAATACCATAGTAAGTACATGGAGCCACAAAGGGAAAACCTCAGATTGATAATTGAAGAAAAGACATTCCCTTCGAATAGTCCACACATAAATAAAAATTTTAAAACATGGTTCAGTTTATAAACTGATCACCATCTGATAAGAAACTGAATTAAGATGTGTAAAACATTTGAAAGGAAACCCAAAATGATCAAAGAAATTATCCGCCTATATTGTTTTTTTGAAATAAAAAGTGTAAAGTATTATTCACAAGGTACCAAAAAACAGGTACCACCCATATTGTTGACTAGAAGAATTCGATAAAGCAGATTAAAACTGTATTAATACATTAAAAACGAATCAGAGTTAGGGAAAGAAATCTAACATAAATTCTTGTTTGCATATTAAAGACCAGGAAACAGGCTTCTTACTCTTCTCTACATTGCAATCTTTTCTGTTCTCTCTTTTTTCCAGAAAAGAAACCAATTCAACTAAATTCAATCAGTGGCAAAAAATATTACATGCTGGGTTCCCAGTAGATAATAAATACTTTGCAACCTCCATGATCACATACTTACTCAGAGCACAGAGTGGTGTCAATATTTATAATCAGTGTCTATCAGTAGCAAACTGAAGGTTATGAGGAAAATATGAGGAAACCAAAGCCATAAGCCAGAATCTTCATTTCGTATATGGCAGGCTGAAGCTGCAACCATACTCTATATGATCATGATTTAGAGAGGCGAAAGAACTTGTGATATATTTAACTGTTTATGAAAATCATCTTTGTTGGAATTTTCAATACTGATGGCTAGTTTGTCATAGAAGTCAACTAGAATTAACTAGAATCATAGAAGTCAAGATTAACAGACTGATGGTATACAAACACTCCTTGCATAATTTGCTTCATTAAAGGAGAATAGTATTTACTAATTTCATCACTCGGAGAATTCAACCATACCTCAAATACTGCAGTTAAAGGATCTTTCTCAGATTCTGATTCTGTCCTTGTTCTTCTTGATTTCCCCTGGAAGTTGTCAAACTCTGATTTAATATTGTAATGAGTTTTCTCCAGCACATCTTCTAGAAAAAACTCTGCTACAGGAAAGGTCAACCCCTGCCAATACGTCGAAAGAAGAAAAGTTAACAAACAAAGTTAATTATCACATTTTCACAGAGAGCAAATAAAATGTTAAATGTTCGTTATACTGGTATGTGCATGGTAGGAGCATTTCCAAAGTATTCTGAGAACAGATTGGCATTAATGGTAGCACTCATCAGAATAAGGCGTAAGTCGGGACGCCGTGGTAGAAGGTCCCGCAAAATAATTAAAAGAAAATCTTCATTCATCCCCCGTTCATGAATTTCGTCCACAAGCAAATGGCTCACACCAGTCAAATTAGGGTCCTGAACCTGCAGTTTAACATCAAATTTAAAATGGAAAAGTGCAATTCAGAAGCTATTCTCAAAAATCTAAAAATAATCAGCTTCATGACAGAATCTAAAAATAATCAGCTTCATGACAGGAAGTTGCTAAGGACAAACAATTAAATATGAAATGAAAGATACACTTGTTCTGGAAAACCTTGGGGTTTTACTAGCAACTACCAACACCAACTGCATCTAAGCCGATAGTCAAAGTTTTCCAGCAAAGAGATAGAAAGTGATACAATATTCTATTCACAGGATACAGATGAAAAGAAACATGCAAGTTTAAGATACAGTCCATCCAGAAAAAAAAATGCAGATTTAAAAGTTGGAAGGGCAGAATAAAAACTGGAAATTGAACTAAAAAGACTTCCAACAAGATGAGATGGATATCGTATAAAAATTCATACCAACTGACGAAGTAATACTCCAGTTGTGCAGAATAACAGACGTGTTTGCTCAGTGCGTTTTGCTTCCAGGCGAATCTGATAACCCACAGATTCACCAAGAGACTCTCCTCTTTCACAGGATATTCGAGCTGCAACAGAAATTGCAGATATGCGACGGGGTTGTGTGCAGATTATGTTGCAATGAGCACCCCGCATACATGATATCTCCTCTTCTAATATAAATTGAGGAAGTTGTGTTGTCTTACCACATCCTGTCTCTCCTGAGACTACTAATACCTATATTGTCAAGCAAAAATAAATCAGTAGTTGATGGGTCAAAGACATTTCCTGTCAGGGAGATTTGGTAAACAGAAGATACAACAGAAAAGTATTTGAAATCTTCATATCAATAACTATGAGAAGAGATGCTACTGAATGGTTGCCCTAGATTACGCTTGGGCACTAACCAGAGTTTTTCAAGCAAAAAAAAAAAAATATTACTCCCACTTTTCTGCCAAAAAAATTATATATATTACTCTCATCTTATCTTGATTGCTTCATTCGTCGTACAAATTGTGTATTTGTTTTCCAAAAGCTTAAATGAAACTATCACAAAATCTCAATGGCACAGATTATAGCACAACATTTCAAGCACTGGGGCAAATATATAAAAAACTAATTACTTCAACAAATAGACAAGAAAGGCAATTTCCTAAATTATGACTTCCCAATTTGTCCTTACTTGAGACAAAATGGTTTCAAAACAATCATGCGTAAATAATATTTACCTGATTTTCAGCAACAGCTTTCAAAAACTCAGCTCTGACTTTGAATGCAGGAAGTTTTTCTCTGAAAGACTGCATTGCCTTTGCACTCTGACTTGCCTGAAAGCAAGAAAAAAAGGTAATGCAATTGCTTAAAATAGAGATGCAAACAATTTGGGCATTTATTTCTTACTTGTTAGCTTAGCATGTTACCTTCATTTTTTCCTGCTTCTGCTTTAGTTCAATATTGAGTTTCTCCTTAGCAGAATCATTTCCCAGATTAGACACGGGATCCGTTACTTTTGTACCAATTGATGATGCTTTGTTTCCTACGGAAGATGTCGTACCAGAATCATTATTGGAGATCAACCCTTGTGAATTTTTCAAAAGACCTCCGACTCTCCTCTCAGTTTCTGTAGACATTTGAATCTGCAAGAGGTTATGTAGTTATTACAAAGATTAGCCAGTACACGTAGATAACATTAAACTTCATATATAATTTACACATTGCTAAACCTCTTTCTGGGTGGACCCATGGCGGTCGTCGAGATCTGCTCGATAATCTGGCAATGGGACTTTGCTAACCACAAGAGCTTTCCCTTTATTGTATGCATGACTTTCTTTCCACAAGTACAAAAACCACAAAATTATAGAAAATCATTGCAAATAATATAAATTGGAATAATAATACATTTCATGGAAACATAATTCTTTAAAAGAAGCTTGGACGAACTGCATGTTTCCAAAGACTAAAGGTGGATTACATGTGTTTCCTACTTTTGGCCAAGAAACCATAACTAATCATTTTTCCAAAACACCGAAGTTCATTGTTATGTTGCTCAAAATGCAATACCAAGTTGATGAGCCATATAACAATGAACTTCATAAGCAGCTCCGCGAACTTAATTAAAAGTAGATATATATACTTACAAGTGAAGGCCCAGCTGATAAGCCATATCACCGAGAGTTTGCTGGTCAGAGCGACTATAATTGCGTCTTATTATCATTTCCTGTTCTCCTCCATTTTTCATCTGCTGCATCTTACTCCACCATTCGTTCTCATCAAGAACTTCCATCTGACAGTCGAACGAAAAAAAAAATCATTATACGGTCAAAAACTCAGAACCGATACTCCTGTTCTCCAATGTTTGATCGATAAACAAGATTGAATTTAACATTTACGCTTTTCAACAAAACCATCCAGCTCAGTCAACATTTCGTAGCACTGACTATGAATAAACCGTTGCGAAATCTCAACACATTTTCTCCACTAAAAAGGAAGAGGGAAAAACGCAAAAGAAAATGAAGATACATTCGTATACCTCAGCCGCTTTTTGCCGTAAGCGCTCAGCTCTCCAGGCTGGGTCCCACCAACGCTGCTCTCCGCGTCCGCCTCCGCGTCCTCCACCTCCGCCTCCTCCACGGCGACCTCCGCCCCGACCGGATGAGGAGCCGCCGCCACGGCGACCGCCTTGATAGTTGTGACCGTGAGGCATAGCGAGAGTTGAGATCTGAAGGCGATACCGAAATGAAGAAAGTCTGGGGTCTATTCGCAGAGGCGCCAATAGCAATGAGTGTTTGCAGAAAGAACAGGGAAAAGAAGCGCCGAGTCTGCGAAGAGACATTTATAACCCCCAAGTCGCTTACTCTCGCACACAGAGCCCATGGCTAGGACACTGAAAGATATGAGTGGGTTTTTTCGAATGGTGTTAGTCATATTTTCTCCTATAAAATATTTATTATTGCGGTAATAATTTATCAGATAATATTTGCCCTAGTTAATTAGGAAAATTAACATACGGGCATCTTTCCAACAAATCTAAAATTTATTCATAAATTTATAGTTTAAGTTAATAAAATATAATATAATATAATATTTAATACAAACGAACAGTATATTATATGAAATATCATTTAATATTAAAAAAAATATATTCAAAATTGATACAATTTAAAATTAAAATGTCAAAATTCTATATGAAATTATATATGAAGTTGATTTTTTTTCCTTTTAATCCAATTTATATCATTTTTAATTAATTTAAATTTGCGAATAAAATTATTTTTTTATTTTATTCCAAATATAGTCTAAAATAAATTAATAATTTTATCATCTACTATTTGATGTATTTATTAAATAGGTTTACGAACATTATATTTAAAAAGTTAATTATATATTTATATTATGTAAATGTCTGGAGATATATATATGATATAATTTGACTATTACTTATTATTATTATTATTAAAATTTTATTTCGTACAAATTAATTTATTTATGAATTAACAAATTATTTTCACGTGAGACAAAAATCAATTGTTGCAAGAGAGTTTATAAATTTATTTCTGAGTTCATTTTACAGTGTGGGTCAAGGTTTTATTTTCATGATGAATTATTTGTTTAATTAAAATGGCACCAGTGAGCCCATGGATTATGGATGGGCTTTTATAGTCGAATCTCAAGTGAACCAACGGATCGTCAGAGGTTGGATCGGTCCATTAATATCGAACCGGGCCACTTCTTCTCCGTCGCGACTGCTCACTGCCATTCCGCTCTCTCTCCTGTAAATTTGTGATATTCGAATTGGTACCGCAGAGAGGGAGAGAGAGAAATCCGATCGGCCTAAGTCCCTGAGGAATCAATATCGATAGCAAGAGCTGAGTTGAGTCAGTTGACGCCGACAGTGGACTCAGCGCAGCCATTGGAGATCCCAAACGGAGAGAGCTCGCGATTGTCACCAATTCGGACTCCCAAAGGGAAAAAAGGGGAAATTAAATCGGAAAACGAGCAAATATGGTGGATCCAGCTAACACGCCACTTGGAAAAATGTTACAGGAGGAGATCACCCCCGTGGTAATGGTGCTCTGCACTCCTCTGGTCGAAGAAGCTTGCCTTAAGAATGGCCTCTCCCTCGTTGAAATGCTAAGTCCCTTCTGCAACTTCAACAACATCGACGGTGAGCTCCTTATTTCCCTTCCCTATGTATAAACGTGGTTTCATATGCCTATGCATAAGTATATTTATTTCTGTTTGCAATTCGGTACTGAATTTTGAGTTGGATTCTTTTGCTCACGCTGCAGTGCCCGTACGGACATCTAGTGACCAACCATACAGACTACAGAAGTTCAAGTTACGTTTATTTTATGCATCCGATATTCGGCAACCTGATTTAGAGGTACTTCTCAAGATGATGTGTTCATTAGATGATGGAACAATGGCAGGAGCAGTAGAAATTAGAAGTTTCGAATTTATTTCTTTTAAGTAATTTACACGCAGGAAATGGCTTGTTAGACTAGGGTCATTTTTCAAATGCTAGATTTTTGTTACATGCAACTGGTAATTCAGACGTTTTTTCTCCGAGAGTTTAATTTAGCGTGCTTGAAGTTAAGCTAAAGATCTTTGAAGCTAAGATTTATTTCTTTGTTTCGAGTTGGGTATGATGCTAAATTCGGTGTCTCCACCTGGATTACTATGATGGTTGAACTCTGGATGTTAGCGTTGCTGCGCAATTGAAATAGTGTTGGCCTATGTTTGGAAACAATTTATAATTTTGTGAAAATCATTTGTACAATTCTCACTTAGCTCAACTAAAAAGATGTTGAAGATACTTCTTAGGATAAAAAGATTGACCTTATAATAGAATTTCATGTGGAATGAAACAGCCCATTTAAAATTTGATAGAATTTAGGATATACTATTCTAATTTCACATATAATTCTATGTGTGATCTTTATTTAAAAAAAAAAAAAAATTTGTGTGAGATCAATTCCTTTGTCATCTTAATTGAATTAAGTACAAATTCCGAAATACATTAAGCAAAATTTTTTATTTCTTCCAAATGTATCCTTAATGTGATATTTCCATTTTAGTTAAGGAAGAGGAATTCTCTTCTTATTTTGCATTATATTTCCTTTATATCTTATGATAACTGGAGATCAACCAGGTAGCAAAGGAGCGGTTGAAGCAGGTTATAACCCAGGCTGGGGAGGAAGATTTTTCTGAACTGAGTTTGGATCCACCTCAAATTAAGGACATACTCGATAGTAAGTGTACTGTGTTACCCTCTGTCATGACAGATTATTGAGCTCCAAAACTATAGCATTTTTCTTTTTAAACTGCTTTCCTGCAGGTCTCCCTTTCTTTTTTCTTCCATTATGTATGTTCTAGAAAGTCCTTTCCCTGTCATTAAGGTTTTTATGCTGATTATGTGCAAAATGTTTGAGTTCTTCTAAGTTAATGTATGGTACAATTTCTCTTGCAGGTGCAGAATCTAAAATATTGCCAACTTGGTTTCGATATTTTAATAAGGAGCTTGTACGTACCTTATCCTTTTCAGACCATGAAGCTTTTGATCATCCTGTGGCATGTAAGTTTCATATTTCATTCATGGGATGGGATGGAACCGGATGAGTATTCTTGGAAATTTGTATTCTTTTAATTATATGTGTTTCTTTTTTGGTTATACAGCAGACTTAAGTTCATGTACATATTCTTGAACGAAATAAGTTCATGTATATATATTTTTTTCTTTTAGGTCTTTTGGCCATATCTTCAAAAGATGAAGAACCTATCAGCAGATTTGTTGACCTTTTCAACCCCAACAAATTGCCCTCTCTTCTTAATGATGGTGCAATGGACCCGAAGCTTTTGAAGCATTATTTATTGGTCCATGATAATCAAGATGGCACTTCAGAGAAGTATACTGGTCTTTCTTTTTCTTATTTTGCACTAATCATACAGAAGTCAGAATAAGTGGTTCTACTTTCAATTACCTATTCAGTGATCAGGTATCATAAAAACCTATTGTTGAAGTAGAACTAAGATTGTTGTCTGTGCTAAAACCGAGGAATGGGGGATTAGAAAAGAACCTAAGACTAAGATGTAGGAACTTAAGATGGGGCATGTAAGACTAAGATGGGGGATGTAGAAGGAAGCATGCAGTGAATGAATAATTACAATAAAAAACCATCATTTGATAAACAATTCCTTCTTTTCGTGGGGAAGTAGCTTTGGGTTGGAAAAAGTGGGGCAGTTTGCATTTATTGGCAAGAGTTATGGGCCTGTGTTGATTTATGGTTCAAGAGGAGGAGTTATGGAGAGGAGTGGTGTCAGCCAAGTTTTGGCTGGACCTGGTGGGTGAATGTCTAATATTGGGAGGGAAGCTCAAGGTACAAGTTCCTTTGCTTCAAGTGAGTGTTCTTTAGCGAGTTTCCGGTTTATTTCACCATGTGTGCATATAAGGTCCTCTGGTAATCAATTTGGGGGTTTTTTAGCTGTAGCAGAGAAAGAATGCCATATTCAATGGGGTTGGGGAAAGGAAATGAAAAAATTTTTGGGAGTGGCTTTAAACTGGAATGTAAATAATTGGAAGGTTCAAGTGGTGTTGCACTTTTCTTCAGAGCTTTTATTTGTATAGCCTTGTTTTTCGTTGATGATTTGTTGGAGATCTTGGGTTCAAACACTTCAAGTTGCTTTTCTATGTCAAAAGAAGTTACTGGTTGATGACTTGTTGATGGCGGACTCTGCATATGAGATGTAGATGGTTTGTTTTTCTTGAAATAAAATTCTTGGCTTAAAATTCACTGCAAATTGAGCTTTAGCATGGGTGGAGAAAATATTGGTAATAAAATGGTCTGTGATGTTTCAGCATGAAGAACATTGTCTTACAATTAGGGTTTTCCTTTATCTAATGTTTTACAGAAGAAACTGGAAATTACAAGGATGCAGTCTTATAGAAAAATGCCCAAAGGCCAAACATAAGTGTACCATACCAACAAGCGACTTCTTGAGAAATCCCTCCCACTGTACCAGGATTTTTGTGTTGAACAATAATCTTTTTAAATGAGTTAATACTCAATATAAATCCACAGAATTCTATGTGGAGATTTTAGATCACTATTTTGAATGCTGAGAATAAAATCTCTCTCTCTCTCTGAAGGTGAAATTAAAGGGTGGAATCTTGTGTATGCTTCAGGGTGTATTTAGATTCTTTTTGTGAATAAACTCTAATCTTTTAAAAGGTGAAATAAAGGGTGGGATCCAGTTTGTGCTTTCAGGCGTATTGAGATCCTGGTAATTATAGACTTCTTGTTTGGGGTTGAGTTGAGTAATATTTGGTACAGTGAGAGACGAGGATGGATGTGGAAGGGCATCCAAACTGTAAGCATCTATTAGGCTTATCCCATTGGTACCTTTTGTGCTATTTGGAAAGAGAAGAACAAGAGGGTTGTTGAGGGTAGATAATCTAAGTTTGATAGTTTTAAAGATTCAGCCAGACCCTAAGTTTTTCTATCAAGAGTCAACCATTGTATTCTAGCCAAAAATCTTAGGGACATTATAGACATTTTGTTAGAGTTATAAATATTTTATACGCGGATTGTACGTCATTGGTGCTCTCTGAATATATTAAGTTTTCTTCTGAAAAAAATTATTGACTTCTTGTAGTGGGTTATCTTGCACAATGTGGATCATTCACCTGAATTGCATGCTACTATTCTGTTATTAATTTTAGTAAGAATTTTAATTTCTTGATATTTTGATCAACTTGTGGCCTTGTTCTTTCTTACATGGTTGGCACCCCTTGTTGCCTTGAGTTTCACTTTGATTGATTCGAAGTAGAAAATATTATATAACTCTTACTTAAACTGTATTTACCTTGTTTCAACTGGGCCATTTTAATGTAACATGTCGGTTGATTGAATTCATTTCTCCATCTGCAGAGTATAACTCTTACTTAAACTGTATTTTCCTTGTTTCAACTGGGCCATTTTAATGTAACATGTCGATTGATTGAATTCATTTCTCCATCTGCAGAGCAACTCGAATTTTGACTGAAATGAAAAACACCTTTGGTCCTAATGACTGCCAATTACTATGCATTAATTCCTCTCAAGATGGACATGTAGAACATCAGGACAACCCGTGGGCTTGCTTTGTAAGTTAATTTGGACTGTCATCTCTCTTCCATAAACACCTCGGAAGATGACATCTCGTAATTCTCTATGTTGGTGTGTGTTATTGCTTCAATTCAGTAAGACTATTCTCATGTACCTGTCACAGAAATCTGATGCTTTAGCTGGTCGAACGCTTGGTTGTTCCCTTAGTACTGATGACATTAATGAGGTACTTTATGTTTACCATTTCTTTAAGTGTCCATAGATGGTATTCATAACTAGATGATTAGGATTTTTTAAATAAATAGTTGGGTATTTTGACTGGAGTTATGTGTTTTTGTAATTTGAGACAGATCAAAGATCTCATGCAAGAATTATCATCTAAGCACATCATTCCTTACATGGAGCAGAAAGTACGTGCACTTAATCAACAGGTATCAGAACTCCTGGTTCTTTTATGAGTTCATAGTTGGGGAAGTTCTTACCTTTCTGGTATATTATTAATCTCTCTTTACTTCTTTTTCAATCTTACTCATCTTTTCATGTTCCATTTTAGGTATCTGCAACAAGGAAAGGTTTTAGAAACCAGATTAAAAATTTATGGTGGAGAAAAGGGAAAGAAGATGCACCTGACTCTCTTTATGGTCATATGTATGTCTTATTGATACCTTGTTTACTTCTTCACTGTTTTTCTCTCACTTATGTTTCCCCCCTGAGAAGGAAGTGTCATCTTCATTTGTTTTCTGCATTTTCCTCATTTTGTTTTTCATGTTAATATTGAAGGTATACCTTCAGCTCTGTTGAATCTCAGATAAGAATTTTGGGTGACTATGGCTTCATGTTACAAGATTATGAACTTGCTTTGTCAAGCTATCGCCTGATTTCAACAGATTACAAGCTCGATAAAGCCTGGAAACGTTTTGCTGGGGTGCAGGTACCTTTAGATCTTTGCTCCACCCATTCTAAAGCTCTCACTGCCTATGTTTCTGTTTCTTTCTCTGTCTCATTGTCTTATGTCTCTGGTTCATAGGTTCTCTCACATTTACATTTTTATGGGTTTAATAAGAAGTGATGAACTCCATATGTGAAGGTATTCTATGATTATGTTTCTGAAATATACCCAATGATGCTGTGATGCAGGAAGTAGCAGTTAGACTAATTGTTCTAGCAAGTAATTTACAAAAAAAAAATGGAAATTTAAGTGAGAATCATAAAAATAGAGATAGCTAGAGGAAATTAGTTATTTTTTTAGATAAAAGTATAAGTGTATATTAATATTAGCACCAAGGGCGTGCCAACCTATTTACTAGAGGAAATTAGTTATTAAAGTGAAGATATACAAAGAGAAGTAGAATGAACGAGATAGATTGGGCAAAATAATAACCGTTAAAAAAAAGCAGAGAGAGATAACGAGGAATAAAACCTTCGCAAAGGCAGTCCTAGTTCATCATTGTTTCTTCTCTCATCTTTCTTGGCTCACCTTTATATGGGTGTTCACTCTAACTAACATGAAAAATTACAAAAGAAGAAATCTAAAAAATTCTAATTTCTGTATTACTTACTCTTCTCTCATCTTTCTTGGACTCATCTTTATATGGGCATTCATTATAACTAATATGGAAAATTATAAAAGAAGAAATCTAAAAGATTCTAATTTCTGCAATACTTAATCTACCTAGATAGGAAACTAATATACTATAATGCCTAAGTAAACCTAAATAATTTAAAAATACAAAATAATAATATTATTGCTAAAAACTTCTTTAATTGAAAATTTGTGCCAAATAATATTTTTTTGTTCTGCATGGTGGGAAAAGGTGATAATAAGGTGGAGATATCGCACCTATTTTTCGTTGATGACACTTTGGTATTCTGCCAACCCCATGAAAGGATGATTTTGAACCTTAAATGTGTCCTCCTGTCTTTTCAGGCTGTTTATGGGTTGAACATTGAGTTGAATAAATCTGAATTGGTGAAGCTTGCTGCGGTTTTGGGGTGTAAACGTGTGAAGTTGTCTATCAAGTACTTTGTGCCCCTTTAGGGACTAAATATAAAGATGTAAGAACTTTGGACTCTGTGGTTGAGATGTTCGAGAGAAGACTCGTGGGATTGGAGAGCTATTTGTCTAGAGGTGGAAGGTTAATGCTCATCAAAAGTACTCTCACCAACCTGCCTGTATATTTCTTATCCGCAATAACTATTCCAGTGAAAATTGCTAAAAAAACTGGAAAATATTCAATGTCATTTTCTTTGGAGGGATGATGAAGGAAATAGGAAATACCATTTGGTGAAGTGGGATGAACTAAAGAAGCCAATGGAGAGAGGGAGCATGAGGCTTAGATCTTTTGTTGACATGAACAAGGCCTTGCAGGGGAAGTGGTTATGGAGGTTCGCTTCAGAGGAGATGATATTATGGAGCAGGGTGATTGAGGCTTGTTGGGGCCGAGAAGTTGGGGGAAGGCCTGTTTGTGAGATGGTGAGATCTCATGGGATGGGTTTATAGAGGAAGATGGGGCGGGGAGAACTTAATTTTTGGATTGTGTCCGTTGGGAATTAATTTTTGGATTGTGTCCGTTGGGAACTTGAGAGAGGTAGTAACATTCACTTTTGGGATGACAAATGGATTGGAAGGGGTAGTCTTAGGGATCAATTTCCAAGAATTTATGCAATCACCCAAAAGAAAAATATATTGGTGGAGGAGGTGTTCAGAGATGAGGATGATAATGGAGGATGAGACTTGACTTTGTCTAGGAACCTCAACAACTGGGAGATTGAAGAATTTGAGACGTTACTCCTTATGTTTAAGGTGCATTTGAGCAATGATAAAGATAGGGTGAAGCGGAAATTGAATAAGAATGGGGTGTTTACCGTAAAATTTTTCTATGCTTATTATTTGGTCAAGGTTGGTGGAGACAACGTCAATTTTCCGGCTCATCAGATATGGAAGGTGAAGGCTTCATCAAGAATTACATTTTTTGTTTGGGAAGCGACTCCATGATGTATTCTTACCATTGATAAGTTGATGAGGAGAGGCAAGATCATGGTTAATAGGTGCTAATGTGTATGAAATCGGCTGAATCTTGTAATCACTTACTGCTACAGTGCCTAGTGGCTTATAATATATGGTTTAAGGTGTGCATGGGTCTTTTACATTTGAATCAATGTCTCTTCTATATTTGAATAATTTCTCTCTTCTGTTGTGCATGGGTCTATTTTTAAATAATGTGCACTAAGTGACTCCAATGCGTATAAGACAAACTAGGATTAATTTGTCTGCTTGAAAGTTTGGGAATAAAAACTTAGATATCACACCTAGAATTTCTTAGACATCATACCTAAAAAGTTTTTAAATTACACTTAATGGTTCTCAAAGTACTTTACTGAATAATTGAGTGATGCCGTCAAGGAGATTACAAAACATTTAACGGTTCTCAGCGCACCAAATAAGTTCTTTCGAGTAGGATTATGATAAGAGATACTATGTCTACTAAGATTGCAAATACTACTAATAGGATAGGAAATACTAATATTAATAAAACTAAAACCTTAAAGTTACTAAAACTAAAACTCCTAACTAGTATAGTACTTTGATATTTAATAGAATTATAATTTCTAATTTATTTAGGTAATCTGTAACCCATTCTGCATCAACATCATAAGTCAATTCCTTTTGGTATTGAGTTTGGATTCATGATGATGCCTTGTAGTGAATTTTCAGCAGTTGTGGGTTTTTCTTGTCAACATAGGTTTTCTGAATGTTGAGCTGTCTGTCTGCATATGATAATATTTTTTTTTTGAGATAAAAGATAGAATAGTATAAAAGGATAGTAAAGGGGTACCGCCCATTTACAAAAGGATTTATCAATGAGCACATCAACAACCGTTTCAATATCTTAGGGATAATAAATTACGACCCAAAAGTAAGGAGCTAAAATAATGCAACCATCTATCTCTAATATTTATAAGAGTATCTTCTATACCCTCAAAAACTCAATTGTTTCTTTCTTTCTATACAATCCAAAAAATGGTAAGGGGAATAAGGCGAGCAGCTTTATTGTTGGATATTAAACATTCCCATGCCAAAAGCTCATTATAAATAGAACCCATCATAACCCAATTAATACCCATCAAGCTGTAAATCATGGACCACAAGTTTGTAGAGAAAGGGCACCATAAAAGAATATGATTACAGCTCTCGGCATTGCATTTACAGAGGAAACATCTGTTGACCAAAGTTCTGCCTCTTCTCATCAAATTATCCAAAGTCCGTAATTTTTTCCCTTGTAGCTTGCCATGTAAAGAAAGAAATCCTGGGGGGAGCATTAGATTTCCAAATGGATCTAAATGGGAAGGGAATTTGTTGATAACAAGTGTTCTAAAGTCCGCATATGTTCATATTGCATGACTGGTGTGCATTTGCTGACCTTGTGGACATGGATAGCAAAGTCTGAAGTGGAAAGTTTTGGGAGTGACATGCTGAGGTGCTTATTTGTTGTATACTATTGGAATTCTGCATCTACAAAAATTATTAGGAACTTTTCTTTGGTCCTCATGCTGCTCTACAAAATCTCTACTTTCTTACTATGTTTCTTTTGTAAAAATTCCTCTAATGTTGTTCTAGTCCGTATGTCTTGTTATCGGGAAGTTGTCCTGTTAGCGCATGCTAAATCGTCTCACTTGGTTTTGCAGGAAATGATGGGACTTACATATTTCATTTCAGATCAATCAAGAAAAGAAGCTGAATATTGCATGGAAAATGCATTTACTACTTATTTAGTATGTTTACTTCTCTTGATTATCTTATTGTATCTTAGTTTTGACTGGTTTCATTAGTTCTTTGATGCTCTGGAATGAAGTAGTAGGCACTCTGCTCTCTTTTTAAGAGATTTAGTCATAGTAACCTTCCTAAAACTATCTAATGGCATGATGCTATTAAAAGAAAAGAAAAAGAAAAAGCAAACGGATTCTTATGACATGCAACATCTTATATCTCACTGTCTAATGACATGATTTAAATAACAAAGTTATCCTGTGTTCCTCTCTCAATAAACACTTCCTCGGTGTTTCTGTTCTTAGTGAAGTTTGTTAATCTTACGTGGCTGACAATAACTAACTGTAATTTCTCAAAATGTTGTTTAATTATTGAGTTTTCTGCTCATGCAGAAAATGGGATCATCTGGTCTACGGCATGCTACCAGGTGTGGTCTTTGGTGGGTGGAGATGCTGAAATCTAGAGATCAGTATAAGGAAGCTGCTACTGTTTACTTCCGCATTTGTGGTGAGGTAATGCTCATATTTTGAAAACCATACTATGTGAATGCATTATTTGCTCCTTACAATGTCTTTTTATAGGAAACTTTACATGCAGCTGTGATGCTGGAGCAATCATCTTATTGCTATTTGTTGTCGAAACCACCAATGCTACATAAGTATGGATTTCATCTTGTTCTTTCAGGTGATCGCTATAAAAAATGTGACCAGGTATAATATTTACTTAAATATGCAATAACCTACAGGTTTAAATACCTTGTATTCTAACAATTCTGTCCTCCATTATCTCTAGATTAAACATGCAATTCGTACATATAGAAATGCAATCTCTGTATATAAAGGGACTATGTGGAGCCACATCAAGGACCACGTCCACTTCCATATTGGACAGTAAGTTATAAGACTATTCATCTTGCTTCTGTAAGAATTTCTTGTAAACATACTCGAAATTCACAGTATGAGAAAATTTTTAGGTGGTATGCTTCTCTTGGAATGTATGATGTTGCTGTGGCTAATATGTTGAACGTGCTGGCTTGTTCTGAACAATCAAAAGCAACACAAGAGCTGTTTCTGAGAGACTTTCTTCATACTGTTCAGGTGTGGACAACTTCTTGATTTGCTTGATGCTTACTGGAGAAGATTATATCCTTGTTGCCCCGGCATCATAGGGTGCATTAAGTAGTCTCCTTGGGGTCATTTTCTTCTTTGTGCTACTTGTTATACCATTAACTGATGTTTTGACGAGTTTGCTTGGCTGAGCCTTTGCTTTTGCTTTTGCTTTTGCTTCTGCTGCTAAAAGGCATATTTTAGACAAATCACTAAAAAATAGAAGTGCTTTTAGAAAAAAGCACAAACTATTTTTGACTTTTCATAAAAGTGAATCTAAAGCTAGAAATAGATGCATTTTTTTTTTTACTGAAGAAATTGATGCTTTTTAGAATGGCCTGTTCTGTAGTAATTGAATACTATTTTTAATGATTATATTCATTAATTTAATGTTTCACTAATTCATTAGTTTAATATTTATAAAATAAAGATATAATATTCATTCATCTCTGTAATTTAATATTTTTTATAAATTATTTAAATAATTTTTGTTTTAAAATTAAAAAATAGTAAATCAAAATTATTATTTATATTGAATAAAATAATCAGATTAAAATCAATTTAAATAATTACAATAATTTTTAGAAAATTTTAATATTATTTAAATAATTGTAATAATTAAATTTTTAGTTATGTAATCTTTATCGTTTCAAGATTTATTAGCATTTTATTAATATATAACATAACTAATTAGACATTGTACTGCATTTGGTATTGAAAGCGGTTTTTAGAGCAAGTTTACTGAACACTATATTTTTTTCACCTTAAAGCTGCTTTTCCTGAAGGTTATTTTCAAATCCATTTTTAGCTTCAAACAGCATAAGCACCAGCCAGGCCAAATGGACCTGAAAATCGTGAATAATTGATTTGCTGCAGATTCTTCTTGTCTCAAATTTTCAGTTTTTGGGTGCTCCTATGCAGTCAGCTTTTAAAATATTAATGATGATGTTTCTTTTTTTATTTTTTTCTCATATGCAGCTAGCTTTTACAGTATTAATGAAGATATTTCTTTTTTTCTCCTTCATCTAAAGGTGAAGAATTTTTTTGGGTTCTAATAGTACTTTTTGTTCATTATTTTAGAAAACTGGCAAGACATTTGAGGTCTTAAAGCTTCAGTTGCCTGTTATCAATATCTCATCACTTAAGGTTGTTTTTGAAGATCATCGCACTTATGCATCGCAGGCAGCTGTAAGTTGAATATGCCAGTTTGTTGTCCTTGACTGTGTGTTCGTTTTCTTATTATTTACCGAGATCACTCTCTGGTTATTGTGTCTCTCTGACCATCACACTACTTCTCCCCTCCTCTCATTATGTTGTTTGATTTCTTATCATTTTGAATAGTGTAATATCTATGTATATTATGAAAATCTTCATATATAGTATATGCTAGCACTATCTAGGATATTCTGTGCTTCTTTTGTTATCTTGTCTGGGACATGCGGCGCTGCACATGATATAATATTCAAAATCATCATCAGAATAAGATGTGATTGGCATGCGTGGAAACGATAAAGTTCGCATAATTAACGGTTTTGCTATTAACTGTGAATGAGGATCAGAAAAGGGTTAGTATAGACCCCTTGTCTCAATTTCTGATGTATTTAAAGTGAATCAATAAAAGGAATAAACGTTATATGGATGTTTTCTGCCTTATTATTATTGAAGTAGTCTGGACAATAAATTATGTACTGATGAGAAAATAGCTTGTGCCAATTTTGGTGCTAAATCATTACAAGTGACATGGGTTCCTATTCGTGAAAACATTTTCTAGTTTTTATTTTCTAAGATTATTTATGATTAACGTCTTTATTTTTGAAAACAAGCATGGTACTGGTGTTTGTTTGGGAAGAAATCAAGTATAAACAAAAACAGTTTTCTTAGAGAATACCAAAATTAATTTTTGAATCTCATCTACATTTTCATTATCATTTACTCATATTTTACGAAGACACCATCATGCATATTTTCATGAATAAACACATGAATAAACATATAAAAACTTAAGAAATGAGAGTTCAGAAATTGTTTCATGTACCAAACAGAGTCTAGACTATTAAAAGTTTTAGCATCATGAAATTTGTTAGTCTAAATTTATAACTGTTGTATACTTAATGCAGTCTGTAATATCTTAACATTCCTAATTGAAGTATTAACAAATATTTTTTTGCTAGTTGCTGGGTTACAACTGATTTATGAAGTTAATTGCAACTAATGTCATGTTTCACTTTTTTAATTTTACATTTTGCAGGCCAGTGTCAAAGAAAGCGTTTGGCGTTCATTAGAGGAGGAGATAATTCCATCATTACCGACTGCCCGGTCTAACTGGCTGGATTTGCAGTCAAAACTTGTGCCAAAAAATTATAAAAAAGCAAATGTTTGTGTGGCTGGAGGTATGAAGGTGATAGTATTATACGTAAATTATAGGATTTAATTAATTTTCTTTGACAATCATAAAATTTCTTTAACATCATGTTCTAAGATCATCCATTTTTCACTTTTTCTTCTCCAGTGTTTTTAGACAAGGAATACTTTTTGCTTCCTCCTTATTAACCTCTCTTGACCAATATTTGCTAGGTTTCTGACCGGTCCATTACTATGTAGTGCTTCATGGTGGGTTGAAAGCATTCTGCATGTTGCTTGATAGTTGTTTAACTAAAGGGACTAATAGGTTGTACTAGAAAAAGAAATTGATATTAGCAGGTACTATCTACATGTCATATTCATAATATTTTACTTCTGGAGATAGAACTTCTTTAGTTGCATGAATATTATGACTACATGTTCAGTCTAGAAAATCTATTCCTATAATTGGGGATTTGGGTTTCAACAGTTACACTGAAAATGGTTTATTATTGCAAGCAATTTTGCAACATTCCTCTTGACTATTGATTTTAAATTGTGATTCATGTGTAATAGAAGGTATGAAAAGATGTACCCTATATTTTCTCTGTATACAGAAAATGATGTAGCTTATAAGGTTATGTTTACATACACTTTTGATATTTTACTTTTCTTCATTGTTGCAGAACCAACACAATTTGATATCGAGTTTAGAAATCCTCTTCAAATTTCTCTTTCCATTTCTAGTGTTGCTTTGATATGTGAACTATCTTCAAGAACTGATGAGGTGAAATCTGGTAAGTCGTTATCAATATTTTCGAATCTTTCTTCTTTCTAAATCATAGTTTCTTATTCTTCTTTAGTTTTTATAGCTGCAAATTCATTCCGTAAACAATTGCTTGCTAAAATATTGATAATTATGTAGATACCAATGTGGCCAGCACTGAGCTCCAGAATGTTGAAGAACATGAAGAGTTGACTATGAGTGGGTATGTATGGATATTTATTCATTAATAATTTCCCCTCAGATTTTCATATTTATGTAGTTTTTTCATTGCATTTCATCAAATTGTCATTGCTGATTTATCCTTGATTCTTATCTCAAAATTAATTCTCATCTCAAAATTAATGCAGGGAAATGAACTCTTATATTTCTTTGTTTACTTTGTCTGAGGCTGACTTCTTATTAGGAGGTGGTGAAACAACTCTGGTGAGTCTCTGATAAAACAGTTAACTTTATCCTAAAGATCACTGTAACTTTGCTATTCCTGTCCTGTCTGTCTGTAATAGAATATAATTGGACAACTTTCAAAGAAGTATATACAGGAAGGACCTTATTTTGAGTAATATACATGCTCTTCATTAAAATTTAGTACTTTCCTTCTTTTTCTTCTAAAAAAAATAAATAAAATATAGCTTTCCTGGCTCCTGCAATTCTAATTGTAATTTTTTAAAAAATAAAAAGTATGAAACATATATTAAAAAGGTATACAAAATATTTACATTTGTGTTAGGATGCCAATGGCATTCCCAAAATTTTCAAGCCTAATAATGTCATGTTCTAACAAAAAAGAGTCAAAGTAATGTAACCACCTATTTTTCAATTTACTATTCTTTACCTCTTTAATCTCAAAAGTTCTACTATTTTTTTCTTTCCGTAGAATTCAAAAAATGGTCAATGAAATAATCTTTACAAAATCCCTCTTTTTACACGAACCACCCCAAACCCAAATCTCCTCCCTAACCAATCCCACCATGGTCCAATTGGTACTCTGCTGCCCGTAAATCATGCACCAAAGGCTATAAGCTGTAGGACACCATACAAGAATGTGGTTGCAAGATTCCGCAGCTCCGTATGACCCCTTTTCATCAGCTTATTGGTTGTCAAGGTACATTCTCTGCAAGCTTCGCACACGAAGAAAGCCATTCTAGGGGAAACTTTAGTTTTCCAGATTTGGAGGGCCGGAAATTCCTTTCTCCGACTCTGCCCAGCAAGCATAATATGTGAATAATACGACTTGACAGAGAACTCATAATTCTGTTTTAGTTTCTGCAGGATCTGGTCACTACTGGTTTTGGCATGCTGATCTGCTAATAATTGCAGCAGTGATTCATACTCGTGGACTTCCCAGTCATTCAAATTTCTAATAACATTAACCGTCCAAACCAATGTGTCATTAATAACATTAAAGCTTCTTCAATCACCATGTTTTTGGATTGAGCAGCGGTGTAAATTCTTGGAAACCATCTCATGAGGCAACCTCCCTCCAACCACTCATCCAACCGGAACCTTATGCTGTTACCCTTACCTAATTTCCACTGGGTACATTCTTTGAATCTCGGTCAGTCCATCAATATTTTCCCCCACAAGCCTAGCCCGTGAGGTCTGTCCATTCTCCCACCCGTAGCCCCACCAGGAACATCCCCCCATCAGGCCGCAATGATTTTCTTCCACAAACCATCCCCCTCCTTTTGATATCGCCATAGCCACTTCCCTTGGAGAGCAACATTCATCTCAACAAGAGACCTAATACCCAAACCATGGTGAATCGGTTTCTTGACTTCATCCCAGTTAATTAAATGTTATCTACTTTTCTCCTTCTCATCACCCCAAAGAAAGCGACATTGGATGGCCTATATTCTCCTTGCCACTTTAACCGGAATTGTCAAAGTAAAAAGATAATGAGTGGGAAGGTTGGCAAGTGGGCTCTTGATAAGAATGAGTCTCCCTCCTTTTGATAAAAAGTTCCTCTTCCAACTTTTAAATCTTCTCTCAAGACTGTCAACAACTGGTTCCCAAGTGCTTTATCTTTGTACTTAATAGGCAGTTTGACAGCTTTGCATCCCATGATATTAGCAAGATAGTTCTCATCCCTTATATCTCCAGTTCTCACCAATTCAGATTTGCTTAAATTGATGTTGAGCCCAGAGACCGTTTGGAAGCAAAGGAGAACACATCTCAAATGAATGAGATTCCTCACTTCTGGCTGACAGAAAATAAGTGTGTTGTCAGCAAAGAAAAAGTGTGATACCTGGACAACATTGTCATCCCTCTCCATTGTTGCACCCCTTAACAGTTGCAGGTCAGTGGCTCTAGCCATTAAACCATTCAACGCCTTCATTACCATGATAAATAACAATGGTGAAAGGGGATCACCCTGGCGCAACCCACAGGAAGCAGTGAAAATTGTAATTATCCAACTCCTGAATCCATAAGAGAATAAATTGTTAGTTTTATCTCTGGTTTGCCTGCGGAGTTCAGTTACGACTTGGCTATATCACCAATCTCTTTCCTGGATTAATTGGTACTTATATTGGTATGGGGGTTGCCCTATAATTTCAAAGTAGACCGAAGATTTACAAATGGGAAAAATAAATTCATATATTTATCATCCGATGGATATCAAAATTGCCAAATCTCCCTGTTGCTGTGGGACAGATTGTTATGATGGCTTTGTTTTGAGAGTTTGGCTCATGATCTCTTCCACAGGGTCTATTTAGCTTCAAAGGGTTTAACATCTATCTTTTATTGATGTCCACCTGTTTTTCATGTTTTCCCTTTACAACGTTGTATGAGGATATATTGATGTTGGAGAAACTAAGATTAATTTGTCTACTTAGAAATTTAGGAGTAAAAACTTACACATCATGCTTAAGGTTTCTTAGACGTCAAACCTAAGAAGAGACCATAGGATTTTCTGTAATGGGTTAACTTTTCTACTCAATGGAGAATTCTGGTGATTTGATAGATATCATGATTGATCTATAAATATTTTTGTACATGGGGTTGCACCCCCTTGTTGCTTGTAGTTACTGATATTTTATATTTTTTATTTAAAAAAAAAAGAACATCAAACCTAAAAAGTCTTAAATATAATATGACTGCATCACCCAAACAAAAAATTGAAAAAATTCTCAAAAGTAGTTTATTACATAATTGAACTGTCTCAAAAAGTAAAAATTATGAAAGGACTTATAATGCTTCTTAAGTAATTTTTCGAGTAGGATTAACTAAGAAATACTAATTTTAGTAAGAATAAAAAAATTAAATATTAAAAAGAATAAAATTCTAAACTTATAAATATTCTTATAGTAGACTCCTAAATAGGATATTAGTTTTATATATAAAAGAATAATTATTTCTAATCTATTTAAACAATTTAATTTTTTTTAAAAAATAAAAGTATGAAGTATATTAACAGGCACCAAAAGGGTGCCAACCTGTATACAAATATTTACAAATCTTCCAAGATGTCAATAAGATCCCCTCCACTGAATAAAGATGATAAACCAAAATAAAAAATCTAAGGGTATGGAACCATCTGTTCCTAATCTTAACAAAATCTCCCTTATTCTCAACCCTCTCCTCTCCTTCAGTAACACTGAGAAAATGGTGAGCAGAATAAGATCTTTGCATTTCCTTGTCTGACTTATGCTTCCACACCCATATTTGATCTCTGACCGAACCAGCAATCACCCAGCCGATACCCAATATAATATAAATCATCGACCATCGCTTGTACACTATTAGGCACCATAAAATGATATGATTACAAGTCTCTGCAAAACTTTTACACAAGTGAGACCCGTCACCATAGTTATTCCCCTTCTCATCAATTTATCAATCGTCAGAATGCAACCTCTACTGGCTTCTCATGTGAAGAAAGTTACTCTGGAAGGAGTATTAGCTTTCCATATATGTCTAAAAGTAAACTTGCTACTTTCAATTTCTTGCTTAGTCAAATGCTTGTTAAAGGATTTCCCCAAAAGGATCCAAATTTAGTTAGACTCTAAGTAGGTTGATCGTTACTACTATCCGGGACAATGGGCGAATGGGGTACTCAGGAGGTTATCATATTTATTGATCTCCCAACCATTGAGGTTTCTTTATACATCCATCTGCCACTCCTTCGCTTCTTCCCTTATATCTCTGAAAAATTCACTCACCAGATTGTCTTTCTATTCAGTTATGGTGAAAATCTGTTGATACTGATCTCTGAGGGCTCCACCTTTCAACCATGGGTTTTGCCAAAAACTATTTCGGTCTTGCATTAATTGTATGTTGCATTATATCGAATATGGAAATAGTGTCTGCCTTATATGTATTTTGGATAGTGTTCAATTCAACACTAGTCATGATTATTGAAGCAAGAATTTGTAATGAAGATCTGATCGAGATATGAATCAGTCTAGAGGAACCAGTCTGTCAAAACTAGCCTGAAAAGTTAAAAAAAGAGTATGATTTGCGATGCCAACTTGTGGGTCATCACTGCTTGGGGACCACATGTCATTTTCCAGTCACTGGATGGTGTTTTGGTTTTGACAGTAGGATTAACCTGAGGCAGGAGTTGCAGATTAGTGGCAGTGTGATACGTGGCTGTGGGGACACCGAGATCAAGAGAGTCAGCACCTAAGCGAACTTTCAGGGACGAGTAGCACAGGTTCCAGCGGATTTTCGTGGTGGGGCTCCAGTGCATTGCTGGTCAGATGTCTAGGTAGCCGGCAGCTGGCTGTGCTGATGGCTGCACTCTGGTTGTCACTGGTTTTCAACTGGTGGCTGGTTGATGTTTTAGGAAATTATGATTTTTTTTCTAGTTGGTTCTAGGGTTGTTTGGACTTGGGGTTCTGAGGTTTCTGGTATAGAACTGTTTTAGCTCTGGTACTAATTGCTTTTGGGACAAACTAGGGTTGAGGTCCTTTACATAAGGTTTTGAGATACTCACTTTTATCTCAAAAAAAATATCATTTAAGAAAATTGAGAAAAATATCAAATATTTTATTAAATGACTTAACTCTGTCTTAAAAAATGAAATCAGAAAGATATTTGTTATTGTTGTTAAATAACTTTTCTCATATAGGATTTAACTAAGAAATACGAATTGGAGCAAGAATTATTAGAGGAAAATAAAATTAAAGCTACTATAATTATAATAACAGGCTCCTAAATAGTACAATAATTTTATATTATAAAAATGATCATTTTTATTATTTTTAGACTATTTATACCTAATCTACTTTATTAATTATCCTCCTTTAATGATCTCTTCTGTTTTCTTCTTCTGATTTTTTTTATTTCACAGAAAGTTAATAATCTCTTCTGTTAATTGGAACTTGTGACGGAAATATTTTGCTAGTCGATGTGTGGCATAACTCTTTTATTTCCAACAAAAAAAATTATGTGTGGCCTATCTCTTTATTCGTGCAGCTTCTTTAAGATTGCTTGTTTTCTGTCTATTGTTATCCTCAGGAAACTTTTTTTGTTGAACTCATGTTTTTCAGGTGCGACTTACAGTTACTCCCAGAGTAGAAGGCATCCTAAAAGTTGTCGGTGTTAGATGGAAGTTGTCAGGTTCTGTAGTTGGTGTCCATAAATTTGAATGTGATCCCATCAATACAAAAAATGCCAAGGCTAGAAGAAAAGCTAGGCATTCTCCTTGCAATGATCTTAAGTTTATAGTGATCAAGGT